AAATATCATGTTTTGGGTTAAAATACCTGGTTTTGGATGCAAAATCCCAACAGGAAAAACATCAATGTCTGGGTAAAAAAGTTTGCTGCTGCTCTCCCTGCCTTAGGATTTCCATGTAGGTGCATGGAAGGGCAGGGAGGTGTACGCTCTCCGCCTTAAGGCTTTCCATGCAGGCGTGTAGAAGAGAATTTCTGCGTAGGCCTAGGAAAGCCAGAGAGACCCCAGAAAAGAGCCGTACTGCCAAATGTAATACTGCAAATGGATTTAATTTTTTATTTGACTTAAGTGTTCCTGACTGAACTGATTCTGTCGTTTGTTGGTCTTGAACAGCGGTCCGCAGCTTGGCAGGCGTCTCGCCTAGGTGACACGCCATCCACCATCCCCTTCACCTCCCCATAACAAAGTTAGTTATACATTCCCATATATTACATCATATTAGAAACATTGATATGATTCGTGTGAAATGTGCAAATGTGACATATTTCTGTTTTGCAGAAACGTACAATGCCAACATTGTCTGATGACTGAAGAAATGACTAATTAGGACCATTGCTTCTTATGGAAACCAATCACTCCAGGAGTTTGGACTTTTCAGTACAAGAATTTTTGTCAGTGTTAAGTTGTTTTTATGGAAAGTGAAGCTTAAGGTAGTTCTGCATGTCTCCATCACTCAGATGTGGTGTTTGTCACTCAGTGAAATATGAGTTGATTCAATAAACAGCAACTGGGCAGAAGCTGCTGAGACTGTAAAAAGTAATGAGCAAATACTGACATGACAGAGATAATGTGATCAAACTGTGGGAAGAGATGAGTCCAAGAGGAACTGAGCGTGTTATTTCGGGCTCTGGAAGAAATGTAAAACCAACCAAGAAAAAAAAAAGTTTTAAACCGAGCAGGAAATGAGATGTTCTCCTACTTTTCGACACACTGTTTGTGTCTGATAAGTGATTGAAAGTCTGTGAGAGTCTGAGCCAAAGCCAAAGGCAGCAGATGTTCTGATAAGTAAAAAGCTACAGAGAAACACAGGACATGGTAAAATTGAATGCAGGATGAATTTCTTGTAGTCTCAAATGTGTGTGCACGAGCTCTGGTGTGTTATTTGGAAGAGAGGGACAATGTGTGAGAATTTGTCCGTGACTTAATGTGCAACAAAGAGAAAGAGAGAAAATCCATCCAAGTCAGAGGCTGAGACTGATGCTAAGCTTAAAACGGAGCCGTAGCTAATCGACTCTCTGGGTTCTGGCTTTATTAGGAAAAAGAAAATCAGAGGGAGAGCTGTAGAAAAACCCTGCTGTTGTTTAGCTTGGCAAAGACTGTGGACGGCGGCCCACAGGGATCCATGATGGCTTTCCTTACCTTTGATATGGTGATTAACATTTGCCTCTGAGAAACTGAGGCTGCTGCTGTGGGAAAATATAATTAAAATCAGACAGCAACATTACACCAACATATAAGAGAAAATGTGAATAGTAAACTCAACTTTTGATTATGGACTTGATGAGGAAACTTAATTCTAAAATAGACGTTAAAGTAATAGTTTAATGTTTTGGGAAATATTCGTACTCACATTTTTGTTGAGTTGTAGCTGAAGAAAATGCTCGATCTGACTGAACATCGCCACCACAACGAGGCTGTAAAGCTGTGTTCAGCGTGATGACGTTTTGTAGTCTAATTTAGCCACTTGTTAGCAACAGTCTTTTTAAAGACACCTAAAAGCTTCAAAATTCCCAAGTGCTGCATTTACTGACATCATTTATCACACTGAACAAACCTTGAACATCTGTTAAGCTTGTGTTAACCGCAGACCTTATTTCAGGCATCTAACCAAATACCTATTGAAAAAATACCCACTGACTTTGAGACGAGTAAACCTGGAATGCTAAAATGCTATGTACAGAAGTCAACAGGGAGAGAGATTTCTTTTTTTGGATTGACTTGACTTAGCTTAAAGACTGGAAACAGGGATTCAGCTAGCATGACTCTGTCCAACGGCTACAAAATCTGCCTACCACCACCTCTAAAACTCACTGATTAGCTTGTGTTAACACTTCGTACTGAATAAACAAACCAGATATAATGCTTCAGCTTTATATTTAATATAAAAATAAGAGAGTGGTATCAATCTCATCATCACACCCTCAGTAAAAAAAGCAAATACACATAATTCCCAAACTGTCAAACTGTTCCTCTACCAGAGCAGCTTTTGTGTCAGCAGACAGTTGAGGTAATGAGATACGAGTGCAGTTAATGGACCCTAAGCTGACCAAAATGATAAATCCTCTCCATTAACACAAATTAGCGCCACAGGGTCACCTTGGCTCTGCTCTTTTATGAATTCTTAGCTCTCTGATAGGCAATTTGAGTCAGTTACATCAGGAGAAATTAGTCCTGAAGTCAAAGTCTGACTAATCCTGTTGAAGTCATTTGAAATATTATTGAAGCGAATTAGCAGACGGACACCCCGACCGACCAAAGGGCTAAGAGGATTTTACTTTTTTTTTCAGTCTGCTCAAGACTCGGGCCACTGATTTATAATATTATATTTCTTTGTTCATTTAGGACATCTCACTCCAAAACCATGAGCATTAATCAGACTCCACTCATCTGGGAGGGTTTTCTCTATGGAGCAGGCTTTATCTAAAATATCACTGTTTGCTGTAGCATTGACGTTTCCTTCATTGAAACTAGAGGCCAAGCTCAACATATTAAAAACGCTATCCTAAAACTGGAAAGAGTGATATGAACGTGGACCTTTAATACATCTTGGATTAATTGGCTAAATGCACAACGTCTGTTTAATATTGGTTAAGGATACGGGAACCTCAACAAATTAATATCTGTAATAATATAGATACAATTTGTGTCAGATATCAAAAACTACTAAAAAATAAAATATTATATATCAATAAGGCTAGTAGGACGTGATGGATGTTCAGTGGTTTTTCAGAGGATCCAATAGGGAGCAGAACCAGAATCAACTTTATCATGTGGTTAAAGCTGCTATAATTAAAAGTTTTATATCAACAACTGATCATATGATTTCTTGTATGTAAAAACAGTCGTCTGGGGCGTCGGTGGATTAGTGGATAGAGCAGGCGCCCCATGTACAAGGCTGTTGCTGCAGCAGCCCGGGTTCGAGCCCAGCCTGTGGCCCTTTGCTGCATGTCTCTCCCTCTCTCTCTCCCCTGTTCACGCTTCACTGTCCTGTCAATTAAAGATAAAAAAAAAAAAATCTTTAAAAAAAATAAAATAAAATTTAAAAAAAAGAGTCGTCTGTAGTGACAAACCTACGGATTATTATGCAGTTCTGGGGCAACATTAATTGGGTTTACATCCAAATGTATCGCAATTTTTGACAGAATTTTCAGAAAATCTGAAATATCTGAAATTCAGAAAATGCTAATTTCTGTGCTTTTCCATCCGCTACTGTTAAGCAAATAATGGGAATTGATTCATTGAGATAAGCAGTAGTTGGCACTAATTCTCCAGTCAGCTGCTAAAAGTGAGGGCGCAATGAGATAACGTAATCAAGGGAGCGCCAGTTAAACCTCAAATGAAGAAATAATGAATGTATAAAAACCAAGAGCACACTGGACAATGGAAATAGAGAGTTTTGAACAACTAATATTACATCTATATGCTGGTGGAAGACAACTGGTAACAGCACTGTGAGTAAAAGCATGATATAAGCTATCTAGAGACAACCATGCAATGACTGTACATCATTATTTATTTGCTGAATCTGTTTTCATTGCACACAGTCTCATTTACAATTTATCGACCCACCAACAAACCCTAACATTCTTTGCAATATTTCGAGATTTTTAGTGTTCACTTTTTTTATGTAAAAATACAAATGTTTAATTTTTTAATTTTAATGTTCAAATTGAAAATGAAAAAGAGGTGGATCAAGACGCACCATGAAGCAACATCAAGTTAAAGTCATATTTGTGAATGTAAATCCAACTTTTGTGCTGTTGTAGCTCTGTTTTTGGTCTCCACCAACTTTAGCAGCTAAATGCTCCACTGTGTTCACCAGCTATGTGTAACTGTGTCTGTCTGCTGTTTGGTGCTCAGCAGGTGGTGTACGGTGGGTTTTTAGAGCTTAATTGCTGAAAACAGATGTCTGTTGCGATGAAGTTGCAATGGAAAAACAAAAAAACAAACAAAAAGAGACATATAAAGCTCCACAAAGTTGAGGGGTGTTGCAGATTCAGGTGATAATTCTCAATATGCAATACGCAATACTCAACCTGCTGTGAGGGTCCAAAGGACAGAGGGATGTCGAATGCTGTAAAGTCCTGTGAGGCAAATTGTGATTTGTGATATTGGGCTTTATAAATAAAATTGATTGATTGAATTGATTGATTGAATAGGTTCATCACTACGAAAGACATTACTGTTAACATTGTCATTTGATACTCATTTATTCACTTTCCGTAACTGCTTATCCTATTGGGGGTTGTGGGGGGGCTGGAGCCTATCCCAGCTGACAATGGGTGAGAGGCAGGGTACACCCTGGACAGGTCATCAGACTATCACAGGGCTGACACATAGAGACAGACAACCATTCACACTCACATTCACACCTACGGGCAATTTAGAATCACCAGTTAACCTGCATGTCTTTGGACTGTGGGAGGAAGCTGGAGTACCCAGAGAGAACCCATGCCGACACGGGGAAAACATGCAAAATGCACACAGAGGGGCTCCCCTACCCCTGGTTCAAACTAAGAACCCTTTGATACTTAATCACTGTAAAAAATGTTGATTATATCTGCTTTTACTTCTCACCTTGATGCAGTGGTGCAGAAGTGTACTCCAGCACGTGTCAGTACACTGTGACATCACTGTTGGGTGCGACAGAGCACATTTTTGAACCCACCAATCAGTGATGCTGGCATTAGCTGACCCTTTGAAGGATACACTTCACCAATGTGTTTTATCTTCCCTGACACCATGATACTGACCTTCCCACCTTGTTGTCCTTCCCTCTGCAGAGCCTCGCCACCTGGGTGTCGGAGAATAAGATGTACTGTAAGCAGACTCTGGTGGACGGTGACGGCCCCAAAACCTACTGGACCCGAGAGCTGAACGGCGATGAGCTCATACTGGTGAGCACAGGGCGGTGACTCATCGTCTCCCTGAAAGCCTCTTAATAGATTACTGCTTAAAAAAGACAAAAGAAAAGCTCTGAAGTTTAGTCGATTAATGAACTCTCATTTCCGGCTTAGATCAACAAAGAGAGGACAGACAATAATTAAAATGTTCATTCTAAAGTGTTATTTTAAGCATAGAGAGGCTGTGATCTGATGGGTAGCTAATCTGTATGGCTCGTTAGTTACGTGGCTTGTTCTCATGGAGACTCGGGAGACATCAGATGCATTAAGATGAGATTTTAGAGGAGCAGCCAGTGTACTCCGTTTGAGAAATGGTTAATGAAACGAGGCAGGGAGTGTATGAAGTCACCCTGGAGATTCATCTATAAAGGAAATGAGAGAGGCCGTTTCCCAAGGAGCCGAGCTTTCATCCACCCCACGGAGAGATGCTGAAAGGAGAACAAGAGGAGCTGCTACGCTGACATTGCAGTAATACCCCCTGTATTTAGCCAGATTAATATGGGCAGAAGTCAATGGGTCCAAAGCCCCTCCAACGATGTGCAGGGGAGCCGTCCAAGACCAATGGACCGGACGAACAGTTCTCAGGGACTCAACAGCTCTTTCCTCTCTCAACGTTCGACGCTCCCACGCTCTGCTTTGTTGTTCCTCGAGCGCTTGTAAGATGAATGTCCAAAAGGCTAAAGCTTGAAACAACAATATAGAAGGTTTAGATGCTGAAAAAGTAATCACAGGATGTTTGCGTAGCTTGAGAAGCAAGCATTGAGAAGAGGCATATCTTCAGTGCTTAAATAGTGTCTCAATATTCCACTAGAAGCTCCTCATTATTCAGAGGAAGGCAGAACATATTAAATCTTTTCTAATGTTTGGGTGATATAAGCTGTTGCAGCGCCTGCTACTCTGGTGACACTTTGGCCCGGCTGCCCTGGAGGAGCTGAAGCATCCGTGTACTAATGGAGATTGATCTGGCCGAGCTGCGACATCATCATGTGTTTCTCTGCTCTTCTCGCCTCAGTCCTCCCTGCTGTGACGGCATCATACAACCCGCAGACAGACCACATTCACAGAGCAGCTCGTCGAGTCTTTTTCTGTTCAGTGTTAAAAAAAAAAACGAAAACCGAAAACCCGAGCGGAGCCACATTCTTCAATCATGTAGTTGAGTTTACACATAAGGATTCTGTAAACAGTATGAAATTGGTTCTCAGTACATGCAGCTTGTATTTGTTGCTATGACAACACTACAAAGTAAATCTGGTCGTCATTCACCTGAGACAGCTGACCTAGTTTTGGAGCCACAGCAGCTTGATAGTGTTGGTGTTAGTGTGAAGGATGGTAAGAAACAACAGTGCAAAGAAAGTGAGATGACCACTTTGACTGGAGAAGTGAAAGTGAAACCTAGGTAGCGAAAATGACCTGGCCCAGAATCGGCCTGAACTCGCTTGACTTGGCTGAGACTAGTTATGAATGATGCCCCAGATTTGGGCCAAATCAGCTGGCCAAATTTCAGGTTGAATCAGCTGGCCTGATTCCAGCTGCCGACACTGCTATCACTGGGCCAATATTAGAAATGACCTTGCAAAGCATCGGCCCAAACTTGGTATGCCGGATGAAATTAGCTGAGCTGCGTCCGGTTGCTTGACTCGGCTGAGACTGGGTATCAATGACGCCCCAAAATCAGGCCCAATCAGCTAGCCCGATTCTGGCTGAGACTAGGCATGAATGACGCCCTAGAATCGGGGCCAAACCAGCAGGCCCGATTCCTGCTGCCGACACTGCTATCACTGGGCCGTTATCAGAAATGACCTGACCCAGCAACGGCCCAAACTCGGCATGCTGGATGAAATTAGCCAAGCTACATCCGGTTTCGTGACTCAGCTGAGATTTGTTATGAATGACGGCCCTGAATCAGGCAAAATCCAGTTGCCCAACTCGGCTGAGACTTGGTATGAATGACGCCCCAATATCGGGCCTAATCAGCTGGCCTGATTATGGCTGCAGACTCTGCTATCACTGGGCCGTTATCAGAAACAACCTGGCCCAGCATCTGCACAAACTCGGCATGCCGGATGAAATCAGCTGGGCTGTGTCCGGTTGCTTGACTCGGCTGAGACTTGGCATGAATGACGCCCCAGAATTGGGCCAAATCAGCTGGCTTGATGTGGGTGCCAACACTGCCATCACTGGAAACCCTGTCAAAAAGAAATAAGATCTTTATATATCCAACACATTCTCATCCAAACTCATTAAATATCGCAGCTTCGTCTGTGGACTTTCATGTCTACATGTGACGCATGAGGTATCTTTCTGTATGTTGACATTCCAGGAAGTCTTGTTAATTTACGCCTGTCAATTGCATTACGACTTTTCCAAATACACTTCTCTTTTCACAGGAAATGCAGTTTCTGCTCATTTGATGTAAACAGCCTTTTCAGATGCAAACAAAACAAAACGAAAAATGTTCTTATAGGCAGTGTGACCAGTACAATGTTTAGCACCATCTACAGAATGGATGTCTGCAAAATGAGATATTCATATACACATAGTACAACTCCCTGGCAGGTTGATCTACATCTTACTATAACTTGGCCTAGAAAAAATCTTAGTCTTAGAAATGAAAAGGACGCCTCTAGAACATTCCACAGTCGTCGAATAAACAGAAGCAGAAGCAAACCAAAAACCTTAAGGGTATAAAGCATGGCACATTGGAGATGAGCTGTACATTTTGCTTAATTTTAAAAAGACTGAGGCCCAAAATAGCCCTGAGTGCTCTCTTAAAGTTAGAGCGTGACTGTACAAAACAGAAAATAAAAGAAAATGTACCTACCTTTCATCCAGTGTCACAGTATTTACGAGTTGTAAATACTGTTGAATTGCAACACAAAATATTTTTTGTCAGTATTTGACTGGGATGAAACTATTATTTACCTGCACGTGTTTAAATATGAAATCTCATTAACCACTCTGCTCAACCAAATATGTTGGCATCAGTAAGAAAATGACGATGCAGTATATTATATATGTATAATATTTTCAAATAATTTGAAACCTCTTTATAGAATAAGAGACATGAGTCATCTTTGCAACCAGACAGCCTCTTTCTTTTGGGACAAGCAACTGTAAACCCAAAATAAACGCTCACTAAACTGTGAATCATATCAGTGTTTTCAAAAAAGCCTCCAGACACAGAGACAAACAAACAATTGCAGAGCTTCAGCTGGAGACTCAAAGGAGGACCAGCAATCATAAAGCAGTGGTCTGATTGTCTGTGGCAGTTCACACTGTAAGTGGGGCACATTTCCATATGATTTGCATGATCCGTTTAATTGGTTTAGTTTGAAAACAGTGTAAGGGCAAAGTCGTGTGGATTTTCTGCGGCTACATCAGCCTGAAATAAAACGAAAAAATGACGGCACATCAGAGGATTGGACTCAGACACTTCAAGCCTGTGAATTCAAGGGAGGCATGAATCAGTTATGAAGCAGTTTCTTTTGGTTTCGTCATCAACAGATTGCACGATGACCCAGATTGATGGCCATAATTTTGACTGTGATGTCATGACACATACATCATGGCTTTATAAGATTTCCTTGACATTTAGAGATCCCTCACAGTCAAGACTTGGTTCAGAAAGGTTCATTGTGCCTGACACAAAGTAGTTCATGCAATGTGTCTTTCAGGCCACGTCTTAAGGCAAACACACTCCCTAATTTCTCTCCAAAAATTCAAGAAGTCATTTTGCGTGTCTTTGGAGTCTTTGCGTAATAGTTAGTACAAACAGGGAAAAGGGCCCACACTGATACGATCTCCACTTGAAGGCATTCATTATGTTCTTGATTGTACACACAAAATGTGACGGAAGTAATTATGTAAAATAAAAACTGGAATTATTGCCTCGCCATTGTATGCCTCCGCCAACCAGTTAAGTTGGTCTGTCCAACCTGATCATCCAAAGTCGTCGATGACCGTTGCTTAGGCAGTGACTTGCAGCGTCAGGCAATGACCAAAAAAAGCTGTCCTTTTATAGTTTAATGGCACTCGGAGGCGTCAGGGAGAAACACAGCAGGACAAGAACGAAAATAAGGTGGCGAAAGTCCAACGGGGGCGGGTGGTAGTGGTGGACCTTCACCCAGGAGAGCAGTGTTTGTGTCCTGTGAGATTATAAAGCCAAACCCTGGTCTTTTTTCCTAAACCTAACCACGTGATTTTGTTGCCTAAACCCAACCACGTTAGTTGTTGAAGGCAAAAAAAAATTCTTAGTGTTTTACAGATCTAGTGCCTTTATTTTTAAAGAGACTGTATGTAAACGGTGAATTTCCTGTGAAAACAGAAGTGTATTTAGGCAGAACTTGACATGATGTCCCAGAACCTCAACAACCAACACACCCAGGGTACCTTTCACATCGAATCTGGACGTGTAAAGTCCATGACCAAAGGTCAATATGTGATGAGGTCGCAGTGAGAATGTGTTGCTTGGACAGCTGTCCGGTGAACTCTGTAACTGTGCATTTCTGGTATGAATGCCTTTTGAGCTGATCGCAGGAAGTGTACCATTTTGTCTTTTGCCATTGGTTAAAAAAATGTTGAAGATGTTTTTTTCCCTGTTTGGTGACGAACACGATGAACTTGCAGCCTATTTGCACGTTGTGGCAAATGCAACAAGTCGTGATAGGAGCTTATCAGAGCAAGCCGTCCTTTGTGATAAGACTGATAGCAGAGCGACTTCCTCGAAATGCTTGCATTATTTAAGTATTTAATACCTGCTGTCTTACGAAATGGTCACATGATTCCTGTTTATAATTTCTAGACATGCAGGTTTTGCTGGACCAGCTAGAAAACTGAAAGTGTAACATCCTCACATTAGTTCAACTAAGAAACCAGACTTTGATGTGTGAACCCACCATTAAACTACCCAACATACTTGAGTTGCAGCATTCTACTGTCACAGGTGTTTGTTGAGGTGAAACCAGCTGACTGCAAGGACTTCTCACGATCAGGTCTCTAAAACACACAACTATCTTTTTGTTTTCTCCAGACTTTCGGGGCAGACGACGTAGTGTGCACAAGGGTCTACGTCCGGGAATGAAGCTCTGCAACCTTCATCAGGACGAGACAGACACCCAGTTGGACCACAACAATTCGTTTAAACCCAACAACACTGTGTCATGCTAACACGCTAACGTATTTGCAAAGTATCCTGTGTAACCTCTCAGCATCAGTCTGCATAGTGTCCACAAACAATAGCAGTGTCTCTGTAATCTGGTTATTTGTAGTGAGTATCGTGTCTGCAGTACAGTAGCTGGATATCTCAGTGTCCATATCTGCAACCCTGGTGTCAGCTGTGTACGTAGGATTTAGTCATCAGTTGCATTGATTAAGTATTCATGTTCAATGACAGGAAACAATAAAAGATGGAACAAACAGAATCACAGCCTCTTTCTTCATAATAAACATTTCTATCAAAGGTAGCCTTAAGAATATTTTGAAACATGTGGTACTTACATCAGGAAGCATTCTCTTCTTTGCCTCTTTTTGTAGGTACATTGCCATATTTCTCGACACATTACTGCCACCAACTGTCGGTCAGTGGAACGGCATGGCCACTAAGTAGATTCATTCCTTCATTCATTTTCTGTAACCACTTATCCAGTTCGGGGTTGCGGAGGGGCTGGAGCCTATCCCAGCTGACAATGGGTGAGAGGTGGGGTACACCCTGGACAGGTCGCCAGAATATCGCAGGGATGACACAGAGACAGAAAACCATTCACGCTCACATTCACACCTACGGCCAGTTTAGAGTCACCAATTAACCTGCATGTCTTTGGACTGTTGGAGGAAGCTGGAGTACCCAGAGAAAACCCACGATGACGCAGAGAGAACATGCAAACTCCACTTTTCTTTCTTTCTTTCTTTCCTTCTTCTTCTTCCAGAATCAGTATCAACCATAACCACAAATTACAAGATCAAAAATAAGGTTATCTAAAGACAAATCCACTCCTGCTTTCTTAAAAACCAGCCTAGACGTCAAACGCTGCTTAGTCAGTCACCCTCGGCATCAGAAACGGATGCACAGTGTGTCCTTAAACATCTGTAAGAGATGCACCAGAAACAGCCAGTCTTCTCACTGATGGTCTTGTTTTCTTATGTACATCATATAGAGGCATCAGTACTACGTTGAGACTATTTCACAACCAGTTAAAAACTCCTTGTAGCTGCTTTTAATACCCTGAACTTCCCCTTTAAAAAGAGCCTTTGCTTCTAAAACCCCACATCCCATCATGCTCCAGCTTCCCACTCCCCGCTGCCATTCGTCACTTGCTCTGATTCTTCCCAGACACTCCCGAGAGACATGTCTTTGTGTCTGATACAGTTCTGAGGCAACAAGATTAAAGACAGAGTGGGGCGGTGAGATAAGACCAGACAGACTGGAGCAAATAGAGTCAAAAGCTTCCGAGCAGGGCCCTATCGCTTCAGCGTGACTAACGCCACGGCTGCACATTTACATGAGTCGACTATTCACGGAGGCAGGCAACATTAAGAGCTTTAATTCTTCACAGTGGGTTTTAAACTCAGAGGGGCACGAGGAGGCATTTGTAATTTTTTGCGTGATGTATTTTGGAATTCAAACAGAAGTGTGAAAAGAGGAAAGTTGTCCTCATGTGACTTTCCCCTCAGGGTCCGTCATGTGGAGGAGATGTTATTGGAACGAACAGACACAGTAGCGTTGTGGTCAGTTCATCTATCTGACCTCTTTTGCTTCACTGGCCCCTCTAACCTGATTGTCCAGCAGCCTGTGCTTCCCCTTGTTTTACCAACAAGGTGGTCAGACCTAGACAAGACTGTTAAAGTCAAAGTCCAGTGAATAGAGAGGCAGAAAAGAAATAATAAAAGTCTTTTTTTTTTTCAAAAATGGAACAGAATAATAGTTGGGACAGTGGTGGTATTATACCTGGACAATTAATGGGAATGTGGGATGATACATTGTCCAGTTTTCTCCATCTGTAATCTGTCTGCATAAATGATGAGTAACAGCTTATTATTTCACTTTACTTCAGTTCTAGACACTCACTGGCCACTTTATTAGGTACACCTGTTCGACTGCTCATTAACGCAAATAACTAATCAGTCAATCACATGGCAGCAGCTCAATGCATTTAGGTACAGTATGTAGACATGGTCAGGACGACCTGCTGAAGTTCAAACTGAGCATCAGAATGGGGAAGAAAGGTGATTTAAGTGACTTTGAATGTGGCATGGTTGTTGGTGCCAGACGGGCTGGTCTGAGTATTTCAGAAACTGCTGATCTACTGGGATTTTCACACAAAACCATCTCTAGGGTTTACAGAGGATGGTCCAAACAAGAGACAATATCCAGTGAGCGGCAGTTCTCTGGGTGAAAATGCCTTGTTGATGCCAGAGGTCAGAGGAGAATGGCCAGACTGGTTCAAGATGATAGAAAGGCAATAGTAACTCAAATAACCACTGGTTACAACCAAGGTCTGCAGAAGACCATCTCTGAACCAACAACACGTCCAACCTTGAAGCAGATGGGCTACAGCAGCAGAAGACCACACCAGGTGCCACTCCTGTCAGCTAACAACAGGAAACTGAGGCTACAGTTCACACAGGCTCACCAAAACTGGACAATAGAAGATTGGAAAAACGTTGCCTGGTCTGATGAGTCTGGATTTCTGCTGCCACATTCAGATGGTAGGGTCAGAATTTGGTGTAAACAACATGAAAGCATGGATCCATCCTGCCTTGTATCAACGGTTCAGGCTGGTGGTGGTGGTGTAATGGTGTGGGGGAGATTTTCTTGGCACACTTTGGGCCCCTTAGTACCAACAAAGATGCAAGTGTTTTTCTTTTTTTTTTCATGTAATTTTTGCCTTGTTTTAACAGCTGACTTTAGATGATGATATGAAACACAGAGAAAGCTAAAGGGGTGGAAAATCTTAGCACCTGATGTAGCACCAAACATGGGGCCCAAGGTGTGTTTGGTCATTCAAGGTGGGCACTGGACTCCACATTAGATATTCATGCAATTGTAGCAACAAATATCAAATACATGAACGAACCAAACTCCTCACGTCCTTCGGTGTGTGACTTTTATTGTGAAGAAACTTTAGGAAATGAAATGTGTAATTACTGAATTAGCAGAACATTGTTAGCAACTTTTCTTCAATAAAGGCAAGTCTAATATTAGGGCAGGGAGGAAGGTAAAAGCAGAAACAGCCACAGTGAGATGTTGATAAAGAGCTGCAGACAACAGGCTCTTACTGCACCTCTGCAAACAGCTCACCTCCAACAGGTAAATTTCTTTTACCTGCCCTGCTGTGGAAAAACACACAACAGGGGACTTTAGCCGTGGATCAGCACTCTGCTTTAAAACCTCATCTTGTGCAAATCCCTGCTGCGCTGGGCTGATGGCCCAAACCAAACCAAGCCAAGCCAAGCCAAGCCAGAAAAAGCATATATGAGAAAATTACCCTACTTCTTACACGATTTATCACCTCTGTGAACATGTTCCCAATGAGTTTGTGGTCTCAACTGCTAGTTTCAAGTCTCCTTCAATACAGTGTGATGTTCATCTTTGAAATTATGGTCCCATTTAAAGTAAATTCAGACGATAGAGCAGGGTATGCTTTAAGGTGTGGCACCTTGTGATACACCAGTTGCCACCACAGCGGTGTCCTTGGGTTCTCAGTCAGATCAACCCTCTCATCGGAAATTTATGGTCACTAGTGGCTCCAAAAAACCCAAAATGGTGACGGCCAAAATGCCAAACTGGAGGCTTCAAAGAACTGAGGCTCTCTCATGTATTGTTTTTACAAAACACACAGTGTGAATACTATTATCAACTACAGGGATTTAAACTTTCCTCTTTGTCTGCTTGTAGGAGTACTCCCTTTTTATTCCTCTGGTGAGCTGAGGCTGTTTTTCATTCACCAGAGAGGTTTTTAATGCCAAAAGCTTGAATCAAAGAGACCGGCTGACTGAAATAAATGAACCTATTTACGCAGGTTGGCGTCCACGACCCAACTGTTTCAAACAGATGAAGATGGTGAAGTGACTATATTTCATTTTCTTGAAATCTGGGTTTGAACTCCACTCCTGTAGAAATAATTTAGCTTTTCTATTAGTGTTCAGTGCTGTTCTGGAGCTAATTTACTGTTTTTGGTGCATGAGCCAGGCGAAGCACTGCTACCATCCAAATCTCTCAACTGGAAAAACCATTGAGGAACTTATTCAAGGCACTTCCCCGGAGCAGGTGCACGACACATGAGTGTATGATCTGGGCCAACAGCCTGACTGCAGTGAACTTTGTTGCAGCCACAGCGGCGGTCAGAGGACTTGGCCGTGGACTACAGGCTTGTCGTCGGGGTGGATATGGCGAGAAAGTGGCACAACATCAAAAACAAAAAGCAAATCTGTCTCTGTCCTTCACGGCTGCCAGGGATTAAAAGGTTGTCCTTTCAACACTCGGCCTCGCGAGGACTAACACAGAGGAGCGGCGACTGTTCCCATTCCTCAACGCCAAGGCTGCTGGGACGAGTCTATACCACCCCTGCTTTTTGACCTGGTATCCCCTGAAAGAATGAGTTTCCTCCTGAGTGCACCACAATACTCCGGGAAGCAAGGGCCAGGGCGCTCGCCTGCTGTGATGTTAATTTAATGACAAGCTGCTGTTCAGATGGCAGGTCCAAACAGCTGAATAAAGGGATTGTTGTGTTTATGCTCCATTTTGTCAGGAAGGGGCCCCTCCGCCTGTCTTACTGCTCTCTTCTGGGCACCAAACAGTGGAGCCTCTGTGAGTACAGTGGAGCACAACGGCGCTTCCTAAAGACAAAAAACAAAAGTTTCCCTCCTCATCTCCACGTGGTGTTCCACTTAAGCTCCTCCCAGGGCCTGAGTAGGTTTTGGAGGTTGGGACTCTGCTGAATAAGGCCCATTAAGTTTCCTGCAAAATAAGACTTATGGCTAATTAGTGCATTCCACTTTTTATTTACCATCATTCCTTTTGATACTAATAAAATTTGTATGCACACAGTTAATTGCTGGGAAAAGGAGGTCCAATGACGCAAGCAACACAAGACATTTCTTTCAAACCGGTCTCACTCCGAAGTCATCGAAACTTGGCGCTTGGTCAAAACCATAGACTGTAAAAATTGGCCAGTGACATCCAGCCTTAGACACAGACAAAAAAAGCCATCCTTTCCCATCGTCATGATACAGGGCCGGATTCTGTTATTGTTAAGCGGTGCCTGGCGGGTTCAGGGGGAATTGTGGTGGGACAACAACGAAAGTTAAGGTGGCGTAAGTCCAAGTAGGGCAAACGGGTCCAAAAGTCACCGGCTTTCACCCAGGAGGCTGGTGTTCACCTCCCATGTGTTTGTAAAACCTGCTCTTTTCTAAACCTAACCAC